CTTACATAATGTGAGAGTCTCTGCCATCCAGCACTTTCCGCAGCATGTGGGCAGGTGCAGGTGGGTGAGGAGTTTGGGAAGCAGCACAGAATATCTCAGCAGCAGGAATGCTGAAAAGGAGGGCAGCGGGCACGCTGAGACATCAGCACCTTCACACGGGCCTCCTTCACACCTGGTTACTACCTATTTCACAGGAGGGTGTAGTCTCCCTCCGGTCAATAGTTCTTCACCAAATCATCACAGTGAAATAAACCAAAGCCCCTTTGCACAGCGGTGGTCTTCCTCTCCCTTCTTTGCTTTCTAGTCACAGACTTTGGGGCATCGGCCCATCTCTTTCTACCCCTTTTGTCAACGCCTTGGCCCTGGAATCCTTCCTCTCGCCTCTCCCCACCCAGGGGTGGTGCTGACCTTGCCCTGGAAGGAGGAACCCTTGGCAGCACTGGGTGGAAAGGCGCCAGCATGGCTGGCAGGAACCAAGGGACGGATCCCAGGAGACTGTGTGGCTATTGACTCTCCTGCCAATTGTCTGGAGGGAGAAGCACAAAGTGCCCACTGTGAGAGGTGCCTATCAGGCCATGCCAATCAGTGAGGGGACGACAGTGTGTGCTTTTGTGATCTGGAGGCTGAATGTGGTGGGGCGGGGAGGAGCTGCGAGGCAAACCTCTGCAGCATCGGGGATAGGGCGCTGGGGAATGTGCGAGGGAAGGGCCGTCTCCCAGCCTGCCCCACATCCAGTAACTGGCTTCGCTGAGATTCTTTGTCAAATTCAAGAGAGGCCAGAGGGAGGATGTGAGAAACAGCATCTCTATAGAAAAAACTGACATGCAATCTCACCTGCATAACTGCACTTGTGGAGCAGAGAGAGAAGATACCCCCAACAAGAAAGAAGGAAGAAGAGAGCTGTTTCTTAACTTGTTCATCTCTCGTTATCAAAAGAGTTTCTGTGTTTCCAGTGGCGTTTTCCAAAAAAACAGAAATTCGGAAGGAACTCTATGTCACTTTTTGTATAGAGTGAAATAGTCCTGGCAGATCAGCTTTAAGGGAGAAGGCCTGAGGCTCCCTCTCAGATCCAGAACTTTCCTCTGGGGTCCCCAGACAGACAGGTGTCCAACCCATTTTCTTGGATGCAACAAGTAGGCACCAACTTGGGAGCTGGAGGTCACGAATGAAAGAACACACTCAAATGTGCAGTTCCTGGGCCCCGCCAGTTGAACCCTTCTAGGAAAGGGTTGCTGAGTCTCTCCTTGGACCCATGAGGCCGTTCTGGGGCACTAACCCTGGTCTGCCTTGCCTCGGGGTAATGTTTGTTTTGTTAGCCCCTCTAAATGTCAAACCCCTTGAGAGCAGGAACTCAAGCATTTGGGGGTTCCCTGGAGTTCTAAGCTCAGAACCTTGTAAATGACCGACACTCAAAACATGTGTTAAATGAAAAGAAATAGGACTGGGAATAGGTGACAGAAATAGCCTCCTCGCTGCTCCCCTGCCCATCTTGCGTGTTACCATGGCATGGCTGAGTGAGTGAAAAATAAATCGGAGACTGAGACACAGCTAACAGAAAGCTTCTGGAGTCCTTCACCGGGTCCCAGGGTTCATAAGTTTTTCCTCGGGGATCAAGTGCTGCAATGTGAAAATGGCAGGTCAAGACAAGGAGGTAAAGTGTCAGGCCCACTGCTGGGGAAACTGGGTTTGCCCTGAGGGCGAGGAGGGGAAGGAGGAGGAGACACATCCACTTCTGGGGAGAGGGACCGGAGTGGGCAGGGATGGGCTGGGGAAGCGCCGCCCCCAGAGAAACGGCTCCTTTCGTGCCCAGGCTGGGAGGAAGAGCTCACCACGCACCTAGCGTCCAGGGCTCCCTGCGCTGCAGCCAAGGAAGGAAAGAAGGTGCTCGGCCCGGCCTGCGGCAGGGGTGGGAGGAGGAAGCATTGCTCCTACTGGGGAACATTAAAGCCAGGAGACATCACTTGACTCCTGAGAGTGGCCGTTATTGAAAATTCAAAAAGCAATAGACGTTGGCGTGGAGGTGGTGAAAAAATAAATGCTTATATGCTGCTGGTGGGAATGGAAGTCAGTACAGGCTCTGGGGAAAACAACACGGAGATCTCTTAAACAACCCAAAATAGATCTACCATTTAATCCAGGGTTCCCATTACTGGATATTCGCCCAGAGGAAATAAACTCATTACATCAAAAAGCCACCTGCACGCCTATGTTTATTATGGTACAATTGCAAAGATGTGGAACCGGCCTGAGTGCCCATGCATCAGTGAGCGCATAAGGCACATGTGGCATATATACACCTCACGTACCACTCAGCCTCAAACACGGATGAAATCGGGTCGTTCGCAGCAAATTGGATGGAGCTGGAGGCCATTATTCTAAGTGGAGTAACCCAACGGAAAACCAAATGCCCTACGTTCTCCCCTGTAAGTGGGAGCTAAGCTATGGGTACGCAGAGGCAGACAGAGTGAAATAATGGACTTTGGAGTCTCAGAAGGAGGAGGAAGGGAAGGAGGTGAGAGAGAAAACCCACATCCTGGGTACAATGTACACTACTTGGATGACCACTGCACTCAAATCCCAGATTTTCATCACTAGACCATCATTCATGCGACTGAAAACCACTTACCTCCTGAAAGCTACTGAAAATTTTCGTTGTTGTTGTTTTTGTTTTATATGCCATTTTTAAGAGTTTTTTAAATTAGACTTTAAGTTCTGGGGTACATGTGCAGAACGTGCAGGTTTGTGACGTAGGTATACATGTGCCATGGTGGTTTGCTGCACCCATCAACCTGTCACCTACATTAGGTATTTCTCCTAATGCTGTCCCTCCCCCTGTCCCCCATCCCCTGACAGGCTCCAGTGTGTGATGTTCCCCTCTCTGTGTCCTGTGTTCTCATTGTTCAACTCCCACTTATGAGTGAGAACATTCTTGTGTTTGTTTGCTGAGAATGATGGCTTCCAGCTTCATCCATGTCCCTGCAAAGGACATGAACTCATCCTTTTTTATGGCTGTACAATATTCCATGGTGTGTATGTGCCACAGTTTCTTTATCCAGTCAGTCATTGATGGGCATTCAGGTTGGCTCCAAGTCTTTGCTATTGTGAACAGTGCCGCAATAAACATACGTGTGCATGTGTCTTTACAGTAGAATGATTTATAATCCTTTGGGTATATGAATTACCTATTTAATAAATGGTGTTAGGAAAACTGGCTAGCCATATGCAGAAAGCTGAAACCGGATCCCTTCCTTACACAGTATACCAAAATTAGCTCAAGATGGATTAAGACTTAAATGTAAGGTCTAAGACCATAAAAACCTAGAAGAGAACCTAGGCAATACCATTCAGGACATAGGCATGAGTGAAGACTTCATGACACCAAAACACCAAAAGCAATGGCAACAAAAGCCAAAATAGACAAATGGGATCCAATTAATCTATGAAATTAAAATTAATAATAAAGTAAATAACTACATAATAAAGTAACCTCATAGAAATCTTGAAACAATAAACAGGACATGGAAAAACAGCAAGGACTCATTTCCGAGTATGAAGTTGAAAATTAATCCCCGGGACTCTAGCAATGACTCTGGGTTACCCCTCTCTATCCCCAGCACCAACATGACACACTCACACACTACCGCACACACACAGACACAGACACAGAGTTAATCCACTGCAGAGTGAAGCATCTTCCCTCAGACACATCAAGACTGAAGTTTAGACAAGCACCTCCTAAACAGCCAGGAAGAACTGAGGGCCTAAAGTCTCGTGAAAACTTTATGCTGCAAAGGGCTGGGTGCAGTGGCTCATACCTGTAATCCCAGCACTTTTGAAGGCTGAGGTGCGTGGATCACTTGAAGTTGGGAGACCAGCCTGGCCACCATGGTGAAACTTGGTCTCTACTAAAAACACAAAGAGCAGCCAGGTGTGGTGGCGGGTGCCTGTAATCCCAGCTACTTGGGTGGCTGAGGCAGGAGAATCGCTTGAACTTGGAGGTGGAGGTTACAGTGAGCCAAGATGGTGCTACTACACTCTAGCCTGGGTGACAGAGCAAGACCCTGTCTCAAAACAAAAACAAAACAACGAAAAACCCCAAAAATGCTATGCTGTAAAGAATGCAACTACTTTCATTGATTCTCTTAAAATCTGAAGCCTGTGGCAGAGCCCCTCAGGGGGGCGTCGTCCCGCTGCTGTGCACCAGCCCAACACAGGCCCGCACACCCACCCATCAGATAGTCTGGACACACTCAGATGATGTGGAAAATATTGGAATATCGAAGCCTGCTTGTTGACATGATACAGGGAAAGAGAGATGAACATTCCTGAATCCTCAGCTCCCACGAAATGTCACACTCTTTCCAGATAGCCTCTGGCTGAATCTGGAGGTAGTGTGGCCAGAGGGTCTTTCATCTGAGTTAAACTAAAACTCAGACAAGAGAACAGAATGGTGTAGGGGAGTCGGCTGGCTATGAAAGAGAGCTGTTGTTGCAGCTCCTGAACCCACAGAGAAGGAAGGAGAGAGAGCCTGGGACTCCAGTCGAGGCTCGAGGGCCCCTCCTGCTGCACAGGAAGCCTTGCTGTCCCCGGCTCCCCAGACCCCACCCGTCGTGGTCCCTGCGGCGCACACAGTCTGCTGGCCAGTGGCTGGGGAGACCCAAGGCACTGCTTCATCCTGGTCTCCAGAAAGGTGGGCTCCCTAAACAGAAACGGCATCTCTCTTCCATGCAGCAGCTCACTGCTGCCCCCATCTTCAAGCCCACTCCCCGCGCCTCTGGGCATCCACCTGTACCCAGACCACTGTGACAGCTCAGGGCATGGGGGAAAAGGACAAGCATCTGTGGACTCAAGGATCACAGAGCTCCTCACAAAAAGAAGGGATGGGACATTGCTCACGATTAAGTGCACCCCCAATGTCAGCACACATCAGGACAACGGCAAAGTTGGTAACCTGGATTGAAAGTGCAGAAGCCCCCTAGCCAAAGCTTCTGCGTCCCCAAGTACAGTCCTGATCGCAAATACTCTGTCCCCCAAAGCTGCTGAAATGTTCCAGTGTTTCTGATCTTTAGGGCATCTCAACACCATCTCTGCAACTGCCTGTCACTCCGGGAAGCCACAGGCTCGCGTCTTTCAGACAGTGGCTACTTTAATTTGGAAACAGTGGTCCCTGCAATTCAAAGTGAACGTTTATCTGTGGTGGCCAGCGATGTCCCTGGAGGAGGAGAGAAAAGGGATGGACGTTAGCTGAGGATTGCAAATGTCGGGCTGCCTCGGCAATGGGAATGATGGGAGCCGGAGGCCGAGGCCTAAAAGTTGAGAATGTGCTTCCGGGCCTCATAGAAGCAGGGGTTTGTGGCACGGGAGTGTGTGTGTGGCGGGGGTGACGAGGACGGGAGCTTGGTATAAACTGATGATGTGGGGCCTCGAACACCCAGCCTAGCAGTGCAGACTTGATGCTTTATGTCCATGTCACCTGAAACACCTACTGTCCTCCCAGATGTGAACAGGTGTTCCCTGGGGGCTGGGGGCTGGGTCCCGTTCTCCATCCTTCCTTGTATCATTCTGTTCCCTGGAAGTCTGGCCTCTACGAACCATGATCTGGACTCCCATGGCCTTTGGCTTTGGATTGGGTTCAGTCGGTACGGGGGTTGAGAAAGGAAGAAGCCAGCGCATTTATTCCCGAGCTCCTTGCTGCCATGCTGTTTGCGAGTTGCAGGCAGTGCCCCTCCCAAGTTCACACCTGGGCCGGGCTGGGCTCTCCTCCCTCATAGGGAAGCCTCAGGTGGGAGCAGCTTCACTCTGCTGCCCGCCCCCGGGCGCCTCATCATCCCCTTGCTGGTTTTCTTGCTCTGTTCGTGCTTCTGTTGACAGTCCTCACAATGACTCCTTTCATGAGCCATCTGTTTCCTGCCAGGATCCCAGTCAAGGAAATTTGGGGGACACGCCTGAAAATTTGCAAAGCTTATTAGCATCTTAAGGTTCCAAAAAGTCCTGCAGTAAAGAAACCCTTAAATTTTGTCTGGTCTACAAAACGCTTTTTAAATTTTTTTCATGGAAAATATTCCCTGAAATGGAATTAATTCTTCCAGAGAATAGGGAGCTCTGCTATGAAGGGTCATTTGAGGAGGGGAGTGACCACCCCAAAGCGATGCTTTGGGAAAAGCCGTTTGACCACTGGGAAGGATGGATTGGGAAGAACAGAAACAGGGACATCAGAAAGGAGCGTGGGTAATAAATAGTCTCAGCATGAAGGTGTGATTTGGGTCACGGCAATGGGAAGGAAGGGACATGAACAGGCTCTCCTGGACCCCTTTCACCAGCCCCCATGAGGCTGGGCAGCCACTGCGGGGCCTCCAGCAAGAGCAGAGCCGCTGCCAGTGGTGAGTTTCGTGGTTCGGCCTGATAGCCTTTACAATTATTATTTTTATCATCAAATTTCATTTTACTGGAATTCTTATTAGGAACACTCAGAAAATACTACCTAGGATGCAAAAAGCGGACAGGGCCCAGAAGTAGAATGAAATCTGCTCATTAAATACAGTCAACTCTTTCTCGCCAGTGGTTGTACAATTCAAAAATAGCACTCATTTTGATGAGAAAACTGCAGATTTTAATAACTGTGATGACCTGTTATTAAAGAGGAATTAGGACGCGGAGGAGCATGTTCGGAGGGCAACGGGCAGACAGCCCCTGGTCTCGTGTTAATGGGAACCGTCCTTGGTCGAAGGTCTTAATTTGTGAGGTTTTTGTGTCTGTAGAACTTTTGCCACGTCCTTCAATAAAACTAGCGCTGCTGTATCCTCCTGACAAACTCCGAGGACCAAAGTAGTCCCCGCAGCCCCTCTCTGCCTTCGTTAGCGCTGCATCATGACCAGGGAGATGACACAGCCACTCTGTCTTCCTGTGTTCACATTTCTGCTTCATATTTTTACCTTAATTGAACTTTTTCACAGAAATCCAGAGATAGAGCTGAGAACCCCAGGCCTCCCAACAGACGCGTTGTTAAGGTGGTATAATCAATTCTCAATTATTTTCAACAAGGAAAGGAAGCATCAGAGCTGGTACCAGAGGACTCCAGGAAGCCTGCCCAGCAGCTGGAGTCACAGAGGAGGGACTCACGGGCCAGGCACACACCCTGCAGGCACTGAGAGTTCTTGGTTGGATAAAAGCCTAAAGGAGCCCTTTCTTTCTTTTCTTTTCTTTCTTTCTCTTATTCCTTCTTTCCTCCCTTCCTCCCTGCCTTCTTTCTTTCCCTTCCTTCCTTCCTTCCTTCCCTTCCTTCCTTCCTTCTTTCCTTCCTTCCCTCCTTCCTTCCTTCCTTCCTTCCTTCTTCTTCCTTTCTTTCTTTCTCTCTCTCTCTCCCCTTCTCTCCTCTCCCTCTCTTTCTCTCTTTCTTTCTTTTCAGAGTTTTGCTCTTCTTGCCTAGGCTGGAGTGCAATGGCATGATGTCGGCTCACTGCAACCTCTGCCTCGCCAGTTGAAGCGATTCTCCTGCCTCAGCCTCCTGAGTAACTGAGATTACAGGCACCTGCTGCCGCACCCAGCTGATTTTTTGTATTTTTAGTAGGGACAGGGGTTTCACCATGTTAACCAGGCTGGTCTCGAACTCCTGACCTCAGGTGATCCACCCACCTCTGCCTCCCAAAGTTCTGGGATTACAGGCATTAGCCACCATGCCCAGCCAAAAGAAGCCCTCTCTAAGTGGTTTGCATCCAGGGGACATAGCCTTCCTGGAGAAGAGCACATGGGTTTTGAAGACAGAGTGGCTGTCTTCAATACCCAGGAAGAGTCATGGGAAAAAGCAAGAGGGCTTATTCCCTGCAGCTCTGAAGAGTGGCCTAGAACAAATGGTCAAAATGCTAGAATGCTGTGAGGCCACGTGCAGCGGCTCACACTGTAATCCCAGCACTTTGGAAGGCCTAGGCGGGAGAACAGCTTCAGCCCAGGAGTTGGAGACCAGCGGGGCAACATAGTGAGACTATGTCTCTACAAAAAAATTTTTCAGCTTATCCAGGTTGGATGGCACCCACCTATAGTCCCAGCCACTGAGAAGAATGTGGCAGGAGGGTCCCTTGAGCCCAGGAGTTCCAGGTTACAATGAGCTATGATCTCACCAATGCACTCCAGCCTGGGCGACAGAGTGAGACCCCACCTTAAAAAAATAATGCCATGGCACTATGGACTCTGGATGATAATGATGTGTCAATGTAGGTTCATTGTTCATCTGTCGTAAAAAATGCACCGCTCTGGTGGGAGATGTTGGTAACTCAGGAGGCTGCTCTGTGGAAGAGGCAGGGAGATGGGTGGGCAAAGAGAATACAGGAAATCTCTGTACCTTCTGAATTTTGCTGTGAACCTAAAACTGTCCCCTGTAAAAATAAAGTGTATTTTTTAAAATGATAGACTTGGGCCAGGCACTGGGGCTTATGCCTGTAATGCCAGCACTTTGGGAGGCCGAGGCAGGTGGATCACCTGAGGTCAGGAGTTCAAGACCAGCCTGACCAACATGGAGAAACCCTACCTCTACTAAAAATACAAGATTAACCTGGAGTGGTGGCACATGCCAGTAATCCCCGCTACTTGGGCGGCTGAGGCAGGAGAATCACGAACATGGGAGGCAGAGGTTGCAGTGAGCCGAGATCGTGCCATTGCACTCCAGCCTGGGCAACAAGAACAAAACTCCATCTCAAAAAAAAAAAAAGACGGGCTCAATTTTCCTTGAACTAAAGGAACCTCCTGGGATCTGTGGCGTCTCTCAGAGGGTTGATAATAACAGTAGCACAGATCTGACATATCACTGGGAGTTGATTATAAATCAGTTCCACCCGCATTTCAATAGACAGCAGCTCTTCTTAAGGAAAAAGAGGGTAGACTTCTCTATTGATCTCAAATGCATCATACGCCAAAGTTCGTGTAAAAAACAAGATACACAAGCCCGCTTCCAGAAAAGCCTTCTCGTCCCTAAACGCGGTTAACATCTTTCCTTGTCACAGCGCGCATAGAGTGGTCTCTTCCATTTTTCTCAGGAAAAGGATGGATCAGTTTCCAAATTCTAAATCTTCATGTTCAAGGGACTGGGTGAAACAAAAAAATCTAAGCTTCACAGAGCTCTTCTCAATGGGAGCAGAAAAGTGCTCCAGGCCTGGAGAGCTTCCTGAGTCAGTTCAAGGCTATTAGGTTATTTATGGTTTGAGATCATCAAATGCCATACTCATAAATTAGTCAAAGAGATATAAACATATACACACACACTTCCTTTTTAAAAGAAGGAAGGATCTGTAAACAGACTTCTACAGCTCTTCCCGGCTACTACAGGCCAGTCTGTACTGACAAGTTGTAGATGACACAGGAAAATGGGAGATTTAAGTGCCCCCCAAAAGCAATTTTCCTCACAAACCTCCAGACCATAAGGGCTGAGATGATGCACATTATATGCTTGCCTAAAATGGGATGAAGCTGGTGTGGTGGCTTATACTTATAAACCCAACACTTTGGGAAGCCAAGGCAGGAGAACTGCTTGAGCCTGGAAGTTTCAAACCAGCCTGGACAGCATAGCAAGACCCCATCTTTAAAAAATATTTAAAAATTAGCTGGGGGTGGTGACGCATATCTGCAGTCCCAGCTATTCGTGAGGCTGAGGTGGGAGACTCTCTTGAGCTCAGGAGGTCAAGGCTGCAGTGAGCCGTGATGGCACCACTGCACTCCAGCCTGGGTGACAAAGAAAAACCCTGTTTCAAAAAAAAAAAAAAAAAAAAAAAAAAAAAAACCCTTGGGATAATTTGAGAGTATTCAGGGACATAGGTTAGACAACCCCCCGCCAACCTTTCCGAGCTTAAGATTTCATGAGACCCCCCCCCTACATCCCCTCTGCCCCACATCTGCAGAATCACCAAGAGGAAAGCAAGCCCTTGAGTTATGGAGAAATGGTCCCAAGGAAACTGGAGTCAGTGACAACATAACTGCTGGGTGAAAAGTGAGCAGACCATGGGCAACAAAGAAATAAGAATAAAATAAAATAAAATAAAATAACTGCTGGAACATGCAGTCTTTACGCCTTTCCATCTGAAAGTCAACACATCTGCCAACTCACTGGTCTTCAGAGAAAACCCCAATTTATAGATATGGTTGTTGATGCTTCAAGGGTAGACAGATTGCTAAAGGTTGAGGAGTGGATAAGTATCCGTGCCAGAAAGAAAAGAAAAGCGCTCTAAGGCTGTGTTCGACAGCCAAAACACCTACTCAAGTCAAGGCACTGGCAAACAGAACGACTCCAAGGGCTGGTTTTCAGCATGTGGGCACAACAAGCCAGTGGATCCACCATTCGTTTTCCAACCAGGTAAGGCAGCATCGTGTGGGGCAGCTTAAGTCGGCTGAGCTCACTGCATGGCCTTCCAGCTGCTGAGAGCCCACCTCCCACCCGCGGTCTCTGTTTCTTTCCAGGGGCTGAACAGTGATTCATCAGAGGATTGGCTGCTTGGAAGTCAAGACTCTGTAAAGCGCTCTGTGGGAAGGAGTGGCGTTCATTTTCCTGAGCCCTGGAAATCCTAGAGTGGTCTGGGGAGAGCGCGTATCGACCTCTGTATGCCAGGCTCAGCTGCGTGCCCGGCTGAGTAATGACAAGATTGGAAGCCACGGCTCCTTTCTGGAATTTTGTGGAAAATATCTCACTGTTTCCCTTTACGTAGCCACGTGCCCTAAACACCTTGTTAGTAGGAAGGGTGGGCTGAGCATCCCGTGTGCCCCTCTGGCTAGCTCATATCTTGGAAGGAGATCTGATGTCCAGCTTGCCTGGAACAACTCTGGAAGAAGTTTCCAAAGGCAACAGGAAAGGAAGCTTTGCAGGTTTGTTAGGGTGATGGAGGAGGGACCCACGCAGGGGCTCATTCTACCCATCAGAAACCAGAGTCCTCAGGGAAGGAGGGAGAGGCTGGAGGCACCTGGGCTTGTCCTCTGCCTTCTCTGTGGCCTGTCTCATCACCGCAGGGGCTCTGCAGACTCCTGGCCGAGGCCTGCCTGGGCTGCCATCTGTGCCCACAGGGAGATTCCACCTGGATTAAGTAGAGAGCTTCCAAGAGCTGTTCTGTATGTTTTCAAGAGAAAAGCAGGCATGTGGTAGAAAATAGACAATAGGTCTCCTAAACAGGATCAGAGGAAGGGCAGGAGGAGAGAGAATGGTGATCAGCTGTCTGTGTCCTGCCAATTATTATATGCTCTGCTTATGTTTTCAGCAAGTGATTTTCCATTCCTGGGGAAGTGGCTGCAGTGAGGGTCACCAGGACTATCCCTCAGGCACCAGGAAAAGTACAGTCCCAAACAGAAGCAGTGTCTGCCCGTGGGTCAGTGAGTGCCAAAATATCACGGATCCTGTTCTGACGCGGGGTTCTCCTCCCTTGAGTATTTTTAAACATGTTTGTAATCCTTTCAGAGCTGAACATGAAGACGTGGGTGATGCCTGATCAGCCAAAGTCTGTCTGAAATGGGACAGTGTGGGCACTCCTCCCCCTGTCTGCTGGGACACTGTCCTTCCCTTGAGTTACTACTCTTTAAGACACTAGCCTGGTTGACAGCAAAGCTGGAAATACTGTCCCTTCCTCAGGGAAGCCTGCCTTGATTTCCCCAGACAAGCTTCTCCCAACACAGCATAGTACTTAGTACCATTATAGTACTTCATAGTACTTAGAACTTCATATAGTACTTCATGGTACTTAGTACCATTATAACAAACCAACTAATTAAATTGGGTGCTTATCCATTTAAACTTTGCCTCTGTGCTGTGTTATAAACTTTTAGAAGGGGAGATCCTGTCAATCCAGCGTCTCTCCAGCTACTAGAACAGGGCCTGTTACACAGAAGGTACCCAGTACCTACTTGTTGGATGAGTGACTGAACAAACGAATGGCATTCTGGCCCAAGAGGACACTGTTACCTGGAGAGAAAGGATGCAGGCCCTGAGCCTGTGGCTCTTTACTCATCCCCATTCTGAATGGCACAGTAAGAGAAAAGGCTTAGGATTCCTACAGACCAGGCTTCAAATCCCAGTTCTGCCCTGTACCACCTCTATGATGTTGGGAGAGTTTTCCTATCTCTGATCCTCAGTTTTCTTATCTGTGAAGTGGGGAAGAGTAACAGCGCCCACTTCAATGACTTGCTGGTATAAGGTGCTGAGCACAGTGTCTGGCACATAGCAGGTGCTAAATAAACATCAGTTTCCTTGGAAGGTCCAGAAGGGAAAATAAACTGCACACTGGCAATACGTGTAGAAGGGTAGTTGAGAGGGTTTTAGCTAGAGAGGCGGCCCTTCTGGGAGAGACATCCAGATTAGCATGTACAACATATCTAGATTAGCATGTACCAGACATCTAGCTTAGCATGTATAGGTCACGCACGAACCAGGCCTAGCAGTCGGAAAGACACTCTCACCTGTCCAGCCCAGTTAGTGGGGAACACACTCCTTGAAAGAGATGAGGCTGTGGTATTGTTGGCCGGGAGCAGTGGCTCATGCCTGTAATCCCAGCCGTTTGGGAGGCCAACGTGGGTGGATCACGAGGCAAGAGATCGAGACCATCCTGGCCAAGACGGTGAAACATTGTCTCTACAAAATTAGCTAGGCGTGGTGGCGATCGCCTGTAATCCCAGCTACTTGGGAGGCTGAGGCAGAAGAATTGCTTGAACCCGGGAAGTGGAGGTTGCAGTGAGCAGAGATCCCACCACTGCATACCAGCCTGGCGACAGAGTGAGACTCCATCTCAAAGAAAAAGAAAAGAAAGAAAGTGACGAGACTGTGGCGGTGTCTTTTGAACTATGCACAAGAGGGCTATAGAGCAGAGGATGCTCATTCCACAAAGTTTGCAAACCCAGAAAGACACCCATTAGTCTCTGTGTCCGAAGCAGAGCTGGGCCTCAGCCCTCTGGGATCCCCATGATACTCTTCTTCCTACAAGCCTTGCTGTGACCTGGGCAGGCCCAACTCCCAGTCTCAGGAGAGAGGAGGGACAGGGGCATGGGGCAGGAGAGGGGAGGTGGGAAGAGAAGGCGGGGCGTGGGCACATTGGCATGGAGCCAAGCAGGGCAAGGGAGCTAGAAGAAGTGTGGGAGAGGCTGCAAGGGATAGGTCTGAGGCTGGGGAGTGACATGTGACACGGAACTGAACATGTCATGTGTGATCATGCATCCATCTTTTTTCTTTTTAAGAGATGAGGTCTTTTCTCTGTTGCCCAGGCTAGAGTGCAGTGACATGATCATAGCTCACAACAGCCCTGAACTCCTGGGCTCAAGGGATCCTCCTCCCCCAGCCTCCCCACTAGCTGGGATTACAGGTGCACTCCATTATGCTGGACTAATTTTGTTTGTTTTTGGCAGAGATGGGGGTCTCGCTATGTTGCCCAGGCTGCTCTCAAACTGCTGGCCTCAAGCAATCCTCCTGCCTCAGCCTCCCAACATGCTGGGATTATTAGACACACATCTGTCCTTTAAACATGCCTATTCCCTGTCCTTAAAATAGGGCTGGGAGCAGCTGAGACAGTGAGAAAACTGTCCCACTCATGCACCCACTCACTCCTTCACTCCCTTAGCAGACACTTATCAAGTCTTCACTTCATGCAGACACCGCGCTGGGGACAGAGTGATGGGCAGAGCAGACAGTCCATGGCCTCCAGAGAGTCCACGGCAGGAGAAAGCCCTCTGTATCACAGTCCCAGCTGCAGAGACGCTGCAGAAAGGAGAGGGGCCTCCAGCAGGCACAGGTCGGGGGTCCAATCCCAGGCTCCCCTGCTTCCACCTTTCTTCGGGTGACCTCGGTGTCCTGAACGGCCAGTCCTCTTCCTCCTGAGGACGGAAAGGAGCAGGAAACCAGTGATCTGTGTCTCGGCGCTGGTGATATCTGAGCCTGAGACCCAGAACAGCCGGGGCAGCCTTGCATACAGGGCCCAGGGATGTGGTCCAGGAGCCTGGTGGGTCCCTCCTGGCCCCACCTTCCCCAGGTGGAAATGACAAAAGAACACTGCTTCCCTGAGTGCTTCATGGAGTCCTCACAGAGGAGGGCCTGTGGATCAGGGGTTCGCGACTCCACTTCACAGATCAGGAAACTAAGACCAGAGAGGGGAAGAAAGCTGACTGACGGTTCACCGTTTTCAGAGGTGAAGTGGCAACCTGACTCAAAACCCAGTGGCCTCCTATCCCCAGGCGCTCTGCCTCCCGACTGGGCTTCCTGGGGCCCTGGCCAGCTTGCTTGGAGGTCTCCCAGCCACCCTGCCCACCGTCCCACCCAGCCACAGCTGGGTCCTGGGTGAGCCCATGAGAAGAGGCCTCAGGACCCTCTAAAGCAGGCATTGGGCCCACCCCAGCCCTGAATCAAATGCTGAGCTCTTGGCCAGGGGCAGGAATCTCCAGCTCCCTCCTCCCTTCTGGCAGCCACAAGTGTGAGGGTTCCCCTCCCCCCGACCCCTATTCCATTGTAGCCGGCGCTGCAGAGCAGCTGGCAAACACAGAAGCAAACACCTGTGTGCCAGATCCTACAGCTGCATGTGTGAAACGCGATCCGTCTGCAGCGCCTGTCACATGCCACGTCCAGTTGCTGCAGTCGGGGCAGGTTGGAAGGGGATCCATGGGAGAGAAGTTTCCGTGGCAGGATTTCAAAGCCCAGGCGCCCACCCGTCCCCTTCCTCCCACCCCGGGCATTTTATTCGCTCCCCTTTTTTGGCACTCAGCGTTTCCGGCTGAGTTTGCTTCTCACTAACTCCCAAACGGTGACAGAGCTGGGAGTTGGTCCCTCCCCAGAGTGACACTGGCTCCACGAGATAATAAAGCTACTTAGCCTGCCCCAAGGGCGCTTCACCCTCAAAGCGCTTGTTTAACGACTTGCTGGGAGGGCTGCACATCTGGCTGAAACGTTCGCGGATCCCGGGTTGGTGGGTTACCTTCAAAGCGGGGGTCCCTGGGGGACAGCCGGGGCATCCTGCAATAGGGCTCAGCACCTCCTGCCCGGTGGGGTCTTCTCAGGCCTGCAGCCGCCAGTGTGTCCAGCCCAGAGTCCCGGGCCCTTCACCTGCTTCGCAGACACATGCTCATTTGCTGCCAGGATCACTTTTAGGGCTTTGGTTGATGTTAACAATTTGCCTGCATATGGGAAAGGGAAAAAATAGGACATTTTACAGGTGCTAAAGAGGGTGGGAAGGGGAAGAAGGAAAGAAGCAGCTGTTTCCAGATATCAACTCACAGAATGTCTTTCCCCAGAAGGCGGCTTTGCGGGGGGATAACAGGTTTCCCCACTACCAGTAGGAGGCATTTCCCATGATGGAGGAGAAAAGAGGAAATCAAGTCCAATGTGGAAAAGCAGACCTCCCATATATCCATCTGACCTGAATGCCACAAGCTCTGTGAGGCCTCAAATGTCTTGGAGTTTGGGCCTAGCCTGGACATAAGAGATCATCATTACACAAAACAGACACCTATCTATCAAACCCTAGTGCTGTACACGGGTTATCTTGTTTCTTCATCCGATCAATGAATAATGTTTATTCAGTCAATCCTCACTACAGCCTTCTGCAGTGGCTTCTATTATGACTCCCAATTTACAAGGGAAAAAAAGCAAGGTTCAGGAAAGTCAGTGGACTTTAGGGAACCTGTGAAAGGTTGTCTAGACAGTAAGGTGGTAAAGATCTGAGGCCAGATCAGAGGTCTGGACCCCGAAGTGAGTGAATAAGCCAGAAGTCTGGCTGGGTCTCCCCATAGTCCTAAAACACTAGGCTTGAGTGACGTCGGCGGGGGAGGGACCAAGGGCAGATTGACACGCCACCTCAACGTGCTCAAAGGAGAAACCTCAGATTCATGTCTTCCAAAGTTCTCACCTCTCCTCTACTTTCCCTTCAACTAAACACATTGTGGAACCCCATCTCTACTAACAAAATAAAAAGTTAGCTGGCATGGTGGCGCACGCCTGTAGTCCCCCCGCTCAGGAAGCTGAGGTGGGGGGATCACCTGAGCCCAGGAGGTGGAGGCTGCAGTGAGCTGAGACAGCGCCACTGCACTCCAGCCTGGGTGACGGGAGTGAGACCCTGTCTCAAACAAAACAAATAAATAAATAAATAAAAATAAACAGACAAATAAATAAAATTCTAATTCCGGAAGTCATTTTCTATGAACCCAAATTGGTTTTTTTACCTTTTCACTTTGGAAAATGCCACAGAAACTACATCTGTGGCCCCCTCGTCCCTCCTCCGGCACGTCATCTCCACTGTCAGCCCTGTTACCACGGAAGGTGGCACTTTCTTGGTCCTGTACAGAATGTAATTTTCACTTGCCCCTGGAAAATCAATATGGAAAGGCTCTAATTCCCCAGATTTCGATTTTTCAATAAAAACGTGAAAATGAAACTCTGTGGGATTGCAGCCAAAATGGTGCCCTTGAGCCAACCGCAGTCTGGAGGGAGACTCACAGAGAGTCTCAGAGAAAACACCAACTTTTGACATTGTTCTGCTCAGATGACGTGTCAGATGGGAGCGGAAGCCAGTGGGGGCCAGGGGTCTCTGAGGCTTGGCAGTGCTTTTCCCTTCTCACTCCAGAGGGATTCGGGGCAAAACTCTGCCTGTCCCGAGGCACTACTGATGGCTGGGATAGCAACGGGGAAAAGCTTAACTTTGGAACCAAGGCATAAATGAGATAAAATTCTGTCTCCATCTTATAATGGCTACTTTCTGCTAAGCAGCTCTGACGATCTTATTTTCTCAACCCAAAGGGGGAGGAGAGAGGTTGAGATTGTTGACTGAGCTCTCAGCGCTGACATGAGGAGCCCATGAAACTGTCTATGGGAAGGTGCCCCAAACGAAGCCTGGCTCAGCATAGACCTTCAATAGGGTGCGTTTTCTTCCTGCGGCCGCCCCCTCTGTCCCTATAATCTAGGCTGAACCACGGATACACTTCGGTACATGGTGTTGTCAGTGGAAGGCCACAGTGAACTATTCAGTTCCCTACCCTGGGACCTCCGAATCACCGCACAGTGGTGTCAGATGTAATGAAAATGCTCGCACCATTGCTTGGCAGGATGTGGTGGCTCACGCCTGTAATCCCAGCACTTAGGGAGGCCGAGGCAGGCAGATCACAAGGTCAAGAGTTCAGGACCAGCCTGACCAACATGGTGAAACCCTGTCTCTACTAAAAATGCAAA